GCCGCGGCTTCTGCACCGAACGACACCGCACGAATCGGACCCCCTTGGGTCCCGGGACCCGGCTCGCGTGAACCCCCCCCCGCTCGCGGGATCCCCCCCGGGTCCCCGGACCCCACTGGGCTCGTGGGAGCCCCCCGGGTCACGGCCCTCGGGGCTCCCCCCAGCCCTTCGGGACCCACCCACGGTCTCTCGGGACCCCCCCCTCGGCCGGGAGACCCCCCACCTGTTCCTGGGACCCCGCCGGTCCCCGGGATCACCGCCAAGTCCGCGTTCGTGCGCACCTGGCTGGCGGAAGGGCGACCGGCGACGACTTCGACGACGACGGTGTTTCCGCCTCTCCCGCCACCCGTTTTCCTGCCCCTTCTCTCCCTCGCCTCCTCCCTCCCTTCCCTCTCCCTCAGCTCTCCCCCCTCCGTTTCCGCGCCCCTCTCTCCTGCCCCGTCCCCCTCTCTTCTGCCCCGTCCTCATCTCCTCTCCTCCTCCTCCTCCTCCTCCTCCTCCTCCTCCTCCTCCTCCTCCTCCTCCTCCTCCTCCTCCTCCTCCTCCTCCTCCTCGCGGCAGCGAGCGCGGCGGAGAAAAACGCCGGCCGTACCGGCACCGCGTGCTCTTGCAACCGTACCGTACCGTACCGTGGCCACGATGGAGTTTGCCTCGAACGATCCCCACCGAAACCTTATGCATTATGGTATGCGCCATGTCATGGTATGCAATACTGCGATCCTGCGCTATGGTATGAGATGTCGTGTCCTTGTGTGGCATTTTATGCTCTGTTCAGTGCCGCGACGGTATGGTGCATATGTCCTTCACTGTTTGGTATGATGCGTGGTGGTATGGTCAGATATGTGTGTTCCGCTATGGCATTGCATGCGTTGTTGTGGTGATATCACATGACATGAAATGGTATGCGTTGTTATGCCGCGGTGGTATGGCGTATGTCTTCATGCGATGCTATACTGTGCTATGCCGCGGACTGGTATGTCTTGTGGTGCTGTGCTACGGTGTGATATGTTATGTCATGGTCTGGTATGGTATGAGATGTGCTGTCATGGTGTGTCATCGTATGCTCTGCGTTGTTGTGTCGGGAGGTGTGGTGTTATGATATGTGCTGTGTGACCAATTGTGGCATAGCTGATAGTGTTATGCTATGCGATGTTTGCTAAGACATCGCTGCGCATGCCACGCTCTGTCATGTTATGATTTGTCATGGTATGGAATGAGATGTGGTGTGACGACGTGTTGTGTTGTGGTGTGTTATGGTACAGTAGGCTGTGAGATGATATGCCATGCCATGGTATGGTATAGTCTGATATGCTGCGTTATGCTGCGTATGCTCCGATATGTCACATCACTAGTTGTTATGGTGTTTGATGCTATGATATGGTATGCCATGTTATGTGTTGTTGTGACATAGTGTGTGTTGAAATGTGCAGTTCTGCGTTGATTTGTTATAGTATGCTTTATGTGTCATGGTATGGAATAGTGTGTGCTGTGATGCTGTGTTATGCTATGCACTTCACTGTAATGGTGTGTTATGGTACAAGATGGTCGGTCATGATACGGTATAGTATTCTCGGATGTGTTGTGTTCGGTGGTGTGGTGTTATGCTCTGTTCTGTGGGGGACCTGGGGATCTAGGAGAGGGCGTGATTCACCGCCGCTTTACTGTGGAAAATTGCCTACCTTTTCCTCTGGAGCCCGGGGGTCGCCCCCCCCCCCCCCTCCGAAAATCCCCCCCCCTGCTGGACCCCCCCTCCCTGCCCCCCCCCCTCCCCGGCCCAAAACCCCCCCTCCCCTAACCCCTCCCCCCCCCCCTCCCCCTCGAAAACCGGGGGGGGTCACTACCGGTTCGAACCCTCCCCCCCCCCCCCTCCGGATCCGGAAAACCGGGGGGGGGTCACTACCGGTTCGAACCCCCCCCCCCCTCGAAAACCGGAGGGGGATCACTACCGGTTCGAACCCCTCCCCACCCCCCCCCACTCACCGCCAGCAAACGACTCCCGGTCCCTACCACCGTCCGCATCACATCCCCCACTGTTGTTCCCAGCACCACTGTCCTCACCACCACTGTCCCCACTGTGTCCCCACCAGTGCCCCCACCACTGTCGCACTGTCCCCACTGTCCCCACCACTGTTCCCACCACGGTTCCACTCTCCCCACTGTCTCCACGGCCCCAACCACTGCCCGACTATCCCCACTGTCCCCACTGTCCCACTGACTCCTCCGCTGTCCCACTGAGCTGTCCCACTGTTCCCACCACTGTCCCCACTGTCCCCACCACTGTTCCCACCACGGTTCCACTCTCCCCACTGTCTCCACGGCCCCAACCACTGCCCGACTATCCCCACTGTCCCCACTGTCCCACTGACTCCTCCGCTGTCCCACTGAGCTGTCCCACTGTTCCCACCACTGTCCCCACTGTCCCCACCACTGTCCCCACTGTACCTCTGTCCCATTGTCCCACCGCCGTCCTCGCCACCGCCTTCACCACTGTCCCCACCACCATTGTACCCTCCACTGTCCCACTGTTTCCACCTCATTCCCACTGTGCCCACACCACTGTCCCCACCACCACCGTCCCCACCACTGTCCACTGTCCCCCCTGTTCCCACCATTGTCCCCACCACTGTCCCCACCACTACCGGCCCTCTACTGTCCCACTGTCCCACTGTCCCCACCACTGTCCCGCTGTCCCCTCACCACTGTCCCCACCAACACCGTCCCCACCACTGTCCGCACCCCCACTCGGTTTTCGAGGGGGGGGGGGGTTCGAACCGGTAGTGACCCCCTCCCCCTTTTCATGATGAACTGGGGGGGGGGGAGGGGCTCGAACCGGTAGTGACCCCCCCCGGTTTTCGGGAGGGGGGGGGGGGAGGGGTTCGAACCGGTAGTGACCCCCCCCCCGGTTTTCCGCCAGCAGCGGTAGAACACGCTCTTTCGGATCTAGCGGCCCTGGTATGCAGACTGGGCGAGTCGGCGCGGGGGGTGGGACCCTCAGGGATTATCGGGGGACCTGGGGATCCGGCGGCCGCAGCATGCAGAGTGGGCGAGTCGGCGCGGGGGGCCGGGACCACCAGGGATCATCGGGAGACCAGGGGATCTGGCGGCCGCGGTATGCAGGGCGGGGGAGGGGCGGGACCACCAGGGATTATCGGGAGACCTGGTGATCTGGCGGCCGCGGCATGCGGGCGGGCGGGCTGGGAGGTCCCTTCTTAAAATCTAGCGACCCCAACCTGTCGGGTGGAGAGAAAGAAAGAGAGAGCACGTGAGCCCTCCCAACCAAACCCGGGGAGGGAGCCCTTTCGGCCTCACAGGGGATGACGCCGGAAGGCGCGACGATCATCTGCACCCTAAGCCGAGCGACACAAACTGCATCAACAGGCACTCGCATCCGATCCAATACGGGAGGTCGCTGGCTTCCGACCCCAAGCGAGCAGGCACACGCAGCCACGAGGGCCACAAGAACGACAGCATGACAGTGGGCCACCATCTCCCACACCCACACGCACGCGCAAACCTTCAGGCCAGGGGCCCCTCGCCCTGCCTGGACTGGGCGGGGGGGGCCTGGCCCAACTCTGCCCCTGGTGTTCCTGAGCACGCGAACACGGGCACTGACGAGGGCTCTCGCCGAGGCCATGCGGCACTGCAGAGCCCCCACGGACAAGCCGCTTGGATCTGCGGCGCGCGCAACGGGGTAGGGAGAGGGGGGAAAGCTCCTTAGAAGGAGGCTGCTCCTTAGAAGGAGGCTGCTCCTGAGAAGGCGCCAGCCCTACATCTGTGGACAAGGCACGCGCCTTCTAAGAAGCAGCCTCCTTCTAAGAAGCCTTCCCCCCCCCCCTCTCCCTGTCCCCCTCTCCTCCCCCCAGCCCTCCTTGGGCCCTGCAGGCAAAGTGCGGGGTCTGAGCCGTGCTACGCACAGAGATGCGCACCTGCGGCACCCCTCTGGGGTGCGCTGGAGGACCGCCGCCGCCGCCGCCGCCGCCGCCGCCGCCGACGACGACGACGACGACGACGACGACGACGACGACGAAGACGAAGACGACGACGACGACGACGACGACGACGACGACGACGACGACGACGCTGCGAGGCGCAGCCCGCCTCCGCGCGCCGCTGGGGGGCGGGCGAGAGCGCAGCCTCTCGCCCGCCCCGTGATCCGGCCAGTGCTCCGCGGAACGCGCCGGCGTGCGGCCGCTCGCGGGCCCGACGTGACTTGGACACGGCGCTCCCTCGGGGGAGCGGCGCGGGGAGCGGGAGAGCCCAACCTCACATGAGGTGCGCCTGCGTCGAAGGTCCCGACCATTCAGAAATTCGGGTTCGACTCCACGGCCACTCACAAAACAGCAGTTTCCGAAGACCTCTGAATCGTGGCGGGGGCAATGGGGGGACGAGGAAGAGGAGAAGCTGGAGGGGAGGAGAGGAGGCGGAGGCGGAGGAGGAGGCGGAGGCGGAGGAGGAGGGGGAGGAGGAAGGAGGAGGAGGAGGAGGAGGAAGAGGAGCAGGAGCAGGAGCAGGAGGAGGAGGAGGAGGGGGAGGGGAGGAAAGGAGGAGGAGGGGAGGAGAGAGAGGAGGAGGAGGAGGAGGACGACGAGGAGGAGGAGGAGGAGGAGGGAGGGGAGGAGGAGGAGGAGGAGGAGGAGGGGAGGAGGAGGAGAGAGGAGGAGGAGGAGAAGGAGGAGGAGGAGGAGGAGGAGAGGAGAAGGAGGAGGAGGGGGAGGGGAAGGGGGAGGGGGAGGGGGAGGGGGAGAGGTGGGGGTGGAGGAGGAGGAGGAGGAGGACGACGACGACGACGACGAGGAGGAGGCGGGGGGTGCAACGCAAGCGGTTCGTGTTGCACGGTCGCTCAAACGCACGAGCCGGGAGCCACGCTGCCCAAGACAGTGGCGGACGTCGCAGTCACCGCCATCGATTGCCACTGCCGCAAGAGGACGAGGGTACAGGAGGGGAACGAGCGACGAGAACAAGGGGCGTAACGAGGGAGGGAGCGGACGAGGGATGAAGGAGCGAGCGAGAGAGGAGGCCAGAGAGATTTGTCGCGATCTCTCGTCTCGCGATCATTATTCCCTGGCGGTCGCCGGCTCCCGGCAGAGCGGCACGCTGGGCAGCTAAAGGCGCCCTCGGCAAGGGGTGGGATAGGTGGACGCCGGCTACTCCAGTGCAGTCAGTCAGTCTCTCAACCCCAGTGCGAGGAAGGAAGAGAAGGAGGGGGAGGAAGAGGAGGAGAAGGAGGAGGAGAAAGGAAGAGGGGGGAGGAGGGGGAGGAGGAAGGAGGGCGGGGGGCAGGAGAGAGGCGTTTTGCGCTGTATGTTCCGTTTGCGTTGACGCCCACACACCGCCCGGTGTATGGTTTTCAGTTCAAATCAATTCAGTAAACTGGCGTTTCCTGTCGTATCCCTCTTCTTCGTCGTGCCTATACATTGCTGCCTATTGTGCGCAGGCCCACAACGGCAACGGCGCTCGAAGACGCAATGAGGCGCCGCGCGCGCGCGGCGGGTGCCTTCCTGGCGCGCGTTTTTTCCCCGCCATCCACCCTGCCTGCTGCACGCAGGCGTGGCGCGAGGCCGCCCGAGCGGCGGCGCGTCGGGCCTGGGCCCGTCGCGGCCGCCCAGAGGGGGGCGGCCTCGCGCCGCGCCGCACCCACCGACGGCGGCAGCAGGCGGGGGTCGGGGCCCTGCACGCGCGGCTCGGTTTGTGGATGGTCCAACCCCACTTCTCCTGTGCACAAGCCATGCTCGCAGCGCAGAGGATCACCAACTTCGGCGAACGTGCATCAGCGTCCAGGCCGCTCGAGCTCACCCCAAGGCACTCATGGGGGACCCACCAAACAACTTCGAAAGTCCAAGGAAAAATAACGCGCCCCAGTGGGCCCAACGGGGCCAGTACGGCATGAATGCGGCCCCTCGTCTGACCACGAGAACCCCAATAAAATGGGCTGTTCCTTGAAACCGTAGCCTGTCCGGACGTGGTGTCGCGAAACGGTGTTGATAAGTCCGCGCGCTAATCTAGTTCGGCAAACGTGGCTCGGCATTTGGACTGGGAGATCCCTGCGAAAGCCGCTAGATATGGCGCACGCAGCGCGAGGGCCCAGGAAGCGGTAAAAGAACTGTCCTGACCACGCCCCCCCAGCGCGGTCGTGGGCGCTCTGTGGCTTGCCTCTGCCTGGGGACAGATCGCCTTGCACGCACGCCGGTAAAGGCCGCTACAGACAGGGGGCACATCAGGCACAACCCTCTCTCTCACACACAGTCGCTCTCTCTCTCTCTCTCTCTCTCTCTCTCACAGACACACACACACACAGACACACACACACACACAGGCAGACAGACACGCACACACACACACACTCTGACGGTGGAAGTGGGCGAGCATTCAATTAGACGCGGGTGCGCACCCCTTCCACAGGCCCCACTCGGAAGCGCAAGCGACTGGCACGATGCCCGGGTGGAGAAACTTGACCCTGGCCTCTGCTGCTCATTGGTGCTGCGGCAAAGGCCACCAGGCCTGGCGAGCAGTGGCGGGCGGTGCCAGCGCTGGCGACGGACAGGCGCAGGCTGACTAGAGTGGTAAAGTCGTCACGGTGAAGGCGAAGCTGGCCAAGGCCACCGCGCAAGATTTGCCCGCGATGGCCCCCCAGGGCGAGTTTTGAGGGCCCTCTGGTCGGCGGCGTGCCACTATGGGTCGTCGCGAGAGTGGCTCTCTGGGGCCTGTCCCTCGGCCCCCAGCAGGCTGCGGGCAGACGGCGGCCCTGCAGTTGGGCGCAGCCAGCCAACGGGCCATGACTGCCTTACGGCGGATCGCGTCGCCTCGTGCTTGCGAAGGGGTGGCCCATCAGAGTCTTTCCAGCCCCTCTAATCTTGTTATAAGCAGCATGCGCGAGGATGCTGCAATCTGGACGGTAATGTCAGCCCGAACGCGGGGGTACATCTGAGCAACGGGTCTCCCCTCCAGGCTCCCCATCCTCATGCGGCGTAGCCGTTCCGCTAGGTGTCGCGTCCTCCCCATGGCGGTGACAGGCGCATAAGACGCATAATGTCGCCTGCTGCCCAGGCCTGGGCTACGCGCGGAGGCCGACGTGTTCGCTACGCTACGCTACGCTACGCTACTCCCGATCGGCCCGAAGGCCGTGCCAATCTAGAACTCGGGGGAAAAGCTTGGCCCGTGCCTCTGGCACCCGGGCATCAGTGCCATCGTCATACACGGAATGCTGCTCGGGCAGGCAGGAGCGGGAGCAGGAGGAGGGGGGGGGCAAGCTAGGTGCGCTCGCGTCATATCTGACGTCCTACCCCTCCCTCCCATCCCTTACCATGGCGCTGATTTTCTCTATCCGCGGACGCGTGTCGTAGCGGACCTGTGGCTCCGCGCGCGCGTGCGTAGTGGGTGGTGGTGCGCGTGCGTGCGTGCGTGCGTGTGTGCGTGGTTGTGGTGGTGGTGGTGGTGCTGGTGGGTGGGTGGTGCTGGTGCTGGTGCTGGTGCTGGTGCTGGTGCTGGTGCTGGTGCTGGTGCTGGTGCTGGTGCTGGTGCTGGTGCTGGTGCTGGTGCTGGTGCTGGTGCTGGTGCTGGTGCTGGTGCTGGTGCTGGTGCTGGTGCTGGTGCTGGTGCTGGTGCTGGTGGTGGTGGTGGTGGTGGTGGTGGTGGTGGTGGTGGTGGTGGGTGGTGGTGGTGCGGCGCGGTGGTGGCGGGCGGATGGGCGCGCGAGAAAGAGGCCCGCGCTGGGGCGAGAACGCCATCCTCAACGACGGAGGCCAAACACCGATCCGAAAATGAGGCCCACGCTGCAGCGGGAGCAAGATTCGGAACGATTCGGGAGCAGAAATGAGGCCGGCGCCTCAGCGAGAGCAGCATTTCAGAAAAAAAAAAAACACAAGCGAAAACCCAACTCCGGGGAATCCTGTGTGTAAAAAAACAGTACGCGGGGGGGTGCCGAATATCTTCCGGACGCCATCAGGGGAAGTGGGAGAGTATTTTCATATTGTGTAATTGTCAAGGGGGAGGAGGGGCAGGAGGGAGCAGAAGGGATGAAAAACTCTCAGATCTCGTACACGGGGACCTTCACGAAAAAAACTTCGCTGACAGGCACAGGCTTAATCGGTTCACCTCGGTCGGCCTCGATGGCGCGCTCGACTCGGCCGCCAAGCATACGACAAAAAACACCATTGCAACATAGATCCGTGCTCGATTTGTTGGACTAGCGAATGTCTCTGACCGTTGCGCCTGACGCTCCAGTCTGTGATGGGATGTTTCGCTAGGGCCTTTAGCCGACGTGTTCGGGTATGGACAAAGGCTGCGCGCGCAGCAGCGTTGGCACCAGCTGCTGCGCTGCACGCGGCGTGATCGGCACTCGGGCAGCGGCCGGAAGGGGAGGAGGCCGAGGACGACGATGAAGTGACAGAGGATGATGCCGAGGGACTGTGCTGACACGCGCTCGCAAGCTGGCACAGCATGGCGAGCAGAGGATGGCGTAAGTGGCGGGCAGAAGTTGGTCCGACTGGTGGCGAGCTCGCAGCTGGTGCTGGCTGGCCACGCGAACGCTCTGGGCAACTGCTGGTCGGCAACATCTGCCGAAAACGTTTGATTGGCAACGTATGCTGGCAGAGGCTGGCGGGCAACGTATGATGGCATCGATTTTGTGAATCAGAAACACATACAAGGATGTCGGTTGCTTTGCGTAGCAAGCGGCAGCGACACCGCGGGCAGGTGGCGAGAGAACCGAGGGCGCCTTGATAAGATGGCAGGCGCCCGGGAGAGAGGAGGAGGCACTGCCGAATGCCGCGAAAAAGAGACTCTGCATGCCGAGCTCCGTGGGCAGGTTAGTGGAGCGGAGGGCCTGCGGGCCTGGCTCTGGCAGGGGCCTCGCGTCAAGCCAGAACGTGCATCGAGGACGGGCGGCAGGGACGAGAGACCCTCGGAGGCCGAAGTCGGGATTTGGGGGGGCGGCGGGCGGCGAGTGAAAAGGGCAGAGCGTGGGCCACAGAGGCAAGGCCACAAGGCTGCCCTGGAGGAAGCGCGCGCCCTTACCCGGCTCGTGGACTGTACACCCTGCGAAATGCTTAAGAAATCATGGGTTAAGAAATTCATAATCTCAGGATTTGAATACAAAAAAAAACAAAAATCCTATTCAAAGTTTAGGCTTTACATCGAAACAGTAAGAAAAGGCGAGACTCTGGCCGAAACCTTACGTTTTCTTAAGCATCGCCCAAGGTGTAGGCCTCCGCCCAGGCGTGCGTGTGGTCAAGGCGCCGCGGTGCCCGGGCCCGCACGCGCGCCGCGGCCCTGCGGTGCACAAACGCCGCGGCGCCCGCCCGGCGGCCGCGCCCCCCGCAGCGGCGCCGGCGGAGCCGCGGGGCCTCGATTTTGCGCAGCGCGGCGCGGCGCGGCCGACGGGGGGGGGGGGCCGCGGCTCACACAGGGGGGCAGGGCCGAGGGGGGGGAGGCCTCTTGGAAGGAGGCTGCTTCTTAGGCGGCGCGGCGCTGACCCGAGGATGCAGGGCCGGCGCCCTCCGACGAGGAGCCGCCTCCTTCGGAAGAGGCGGCCCGTGGCGCCGGCCCGCGTGGCTCCTGAGGCCAAACCTGAGCCGGCGCCGCAGGAAGGAGGAGACAGGGAGGGAGGAGGGAAGGAGGGAAGGAGGGAGGAGGGAGGAGGGAGGAGGGAGGAGGGAAGGAGGGGATGGGGGAGGGGGGAGGGGGGAGGAGGCAGAGGGAGGAGGGGGAAGACAGGGCAGCGCTACCCAGATGGCACCAATGCTCGCAGTATCGAGGCATCTAGGGGGGAGGAGGCTTGACCGAAGGCTCACGGGATCCCCCAAGGTTCGGGGGGGGTCCTGAAGTTTCTGGGGGCTCCCCAGGATTCAAAGCAGCATGGCCCGATCCTCGGTCTTGCCCCCCACCTTGCCCGTCTTGCCCCCCCGATCCCCGATCTCGCCCCCCAGCTTATCCCCCCCCGCCGTCCCCCATCTTGCCTCCCCCCTTGCCCACCCCCTGCCCCCCCCCCCCCCGCGGACCCTGCCACCCGATCCTCGCTCACCGCCCCCTCTCCTGCCCGTCTTGCCCCACCAATCCCCGCTCTTGCCCTCCCCCATCCTCGACCTGGCATCCCACCCCGGCCTCGACTGCACTGGGGGCTTCGGGGATCCACCGACCCAGGTCAACCCAGACCCGGGTCAGCCAGGCTCTGCAGGGTCCTGCCAGGTCCTGCAGAGAAACCTCTGCAGGATCCTGCGCCGAAGCCCGGGCCAGTGCAAACCCGGACCTGCTGGCTCCTGTAGGATCTGGCGCTCTGGCTGATCCCCGCTCGGCCACGCGCAAGCGTGACCCCAGGCAAGCGTGACCCTCGGTGTGCGGACTATAAGAGGGTGCACAGTGGCCGACTCCAAGCGAGCAATCGGCCGCTATCGCATCGCGCTCAGCGAGCGGGGGGACCCCGAGAAGCCCGCACCAAAAGGTCACTCCGGCCAAGGGTCACCCTTACGTGTCGTCGACCCGCTTGCACTGACCCCCCGCCTCTTGCAGCTCGAGGGCTGCCCGCCCGCGCCCGCCCTGGCCCGGCCGACCCCGACGCCTGGACACAGTGGAGGCCAGTCCACAAGAAACCCTCCACCAGAAGCCCGACCCCGAGGCCCCAGGACGTCCGTGGATTTTCGGGGTGGGAACGTCGCGCCTTCCACGGCGAAACCCTCGAAACCCAAGAAGCCCAGGGGCACCCTGGAAGCAAGCAAGGCGCTTCTTGGCGTGGGCCCCCACTGCATGACGCCCCCTCCCGGCCTGCCGGGGAAGGGCCCGCGCACACCCCCGGCTGCACGCAGGAGCCCCGCAGGGGGGGGCAACTCTCGAGGGGCAGCGGCGGGGGGGGGGGCTGGCTCTGGGCAGCACCGCGAGCTGAAAATCCGGCGGTGCGTCGCCAGCGGACCGCCGACGGGCCCCCGACAGCGAAGCCGCACGTTCCTGGGCGGGGCGGGCTGCCCCTGTCCGCGGAGAAGATGGGCGGTTTGGCATCCAGCTGGGTTCGCTCTCCAACCCTCGGGACAGCCCCCCGAGCCCGCGCATTCCCGAGTTCATGCCGACTTCACATTACGATCACGCATCACAACATCACTATGTTTTTGTTATTGTGATCCCCAAGTTCGTTACTGTTGTCCGCAGTGGTACTAGTATGGTTGTCCGCATTGGTATCATTCGTGGCAGTGCCACGACTGAGCATGATGATTCGTATGACTTTGTATAATAGTTATGTTCGCACGCTGCTGGATGTTCCAACAGGGCCGTAGTGGCAACCCTGCTCGTACCATGAAAGCATCAGTGCGAGCACTGCGAACACGTCTGCCCCTCGCGTTGCTCCTGTGCTTACTGTCCTCCTCCCTCGACGACAGCCGGCGTCCCCCTCGGAAAAGGAGGGAGCGACGCGCGTCGTCCCCCTAGAGGCGAGGGAGAACCGCCCCCCGCAGCTCGGAGGACCTCCACTCCCCTGGAGCCGCCGGGGAGGAGCGGCGCGCGCCCGCTGTGCCTCGCCCTCATTGGGGGAGGCGCTCCTGCTCCTCCTCCTCCTCCTCCTCCTCCTCCTCCTCCTCCTCCTCCTCCTCCTCCTCCTCCTGCTCCCCCCTGCTCCTGCTCCTTCTCCTGCTCCTGCTCCTGCTCATCCTCCTCCTCCTCCTCCTCCTGCTCCTGCCTCTCCTCGTGGCTCCTCCCTCTCCCTCTCTCCTCCCTCTGCATCCCCGTTTCCTAATCTCCTCCCTGCCGCACCCCCAGGCGAGTCAGTCGGGCGGGCCGGGCGGGTCGCCCGAGGCTCCCTCACCATTCATGATGCCGAACCCTGAAGTTCACCACCGGAAGAAGGATGGAGGGCTTCGTGTTCACATTGGGCTGTTGCCTCAGCGCCACACGCATTCGCCACAAAAGTCGGCAACTGCTTCAATGGAGGGGGTGGTGTTCAAAATGGGGCTCCCGCAAGCGCCGCGAACACTTGCTCGAACAACTTGAAATAGCGTCAAGAGTGGATGGCGGGTCCTTCTCGAATGAGGGACTGTCGCAGTCGACGTTCCCGAAAATCGAACATGTGTACCAGTTGCGCGGATGTGAGGGCGGCTCCGTTTCAACGTGGGGACTCCCGCATGCGACTTCCTCGAGAAGCTCAAGACCAGAAGTACAAGCGTGTCACTTGTTTCAGCGAGCGAAGAACGGTACAAAATAAACTTTTTCGCTGTCGGGGGCGCCTGTCCCTGGGCGGCTGGAAAGTTTATACCCCTACGGTGCCACCGTAAGGGTATAAACTTTCCAGCCGCCCAGGGACAGGCGCCCCCGACAGCGAAAAAGTTATGTTATACCGTTCTTCGCCCGTTAATTGTTACACAGCGGGATGCTGTCCTTTCCCAAAAAGGGGGGGCATCGCTGGACACCTCAGTGAACTGTATGGTGGCACCTGTTCGCATTCCGCTTTTTTCGCCGGAAGGGTGCAACGCAACTCCGTTTCAGAACGGGGCGCTCGCCTGAACGGCAGGCCAACCAGGTGCTGGTCTTCCAAGGGGGCGCCGGTTATAGTTGAAGGAAGGCTTGTATGAACATCTTGAGGGGATTTGGGGCGTGAGGATGTGTTGCAGCAAGGTTCATGCATATTCGTATCAGTCTGACATGTGTTCCACTTCCTCCTGTTCGCATGCCGCTTTTTCGCCGGAAGGGTGCAACGCGACTCCGTGTCAAAAGGGGGCGCTCGCCTGAATGGCAGGCCAACCAGGTGCTGGTCTTTCGAGGGGGCGCCGGTTATGGTTGAAGGAATGCTTGTCTGAACATCTTGAGGGGACTTGGGGCGTGAGATGTGTTGCAGCAAGGTTCATGCATATTCGTATCAGTCTGACATGTGTTTAATTTCCTCCTCCTCCTCATCATCATCATCAGCATCATCATCAGCAGCATCATCAGCATCATCAGCAGCAGCATCAGCATCAGCATCAGCATCATCATCATCATCATCATCATCATCATCATCATCATCATCATCATCATCATCATCATCATCATCATCCTTCTCTTACTCCTCATGCTACACCTCCCCATCCTCTCCTTCCTCATCATCCTCCATATCCTCCTCCATGATCATGCTCCCTCCTTCTCACTCCTCATCATCATCATCACCACCACAACCACCACCATCATCATCATCATCATCATCATCATCATCATCATCATCATCATCATCATCAAAATCCTCATCCTCATCCTCATCCTCATCATCATCATCATCATCATCATCAGCATCAGCATCATCATCATCAAAATCCTCATCCTCATCCTCATCCTCATCCTCATCCTCATCCTCATCCTCATCCTCATCCTCTCTCCTCATCCTCTCTCCTTCTCCCTCCTACTCATCCTCCTCCATCCTGCCCCCTCCTCCTCCTCCTCGACCTCCGCCATCCCTCCCTCGTCCCCTCCCACCCTCCCTCATCCTCCGCCTCATCCACCTCCCCCGTCCTCCACCCTCCTCCATTATTCCTCGTACATCCCACCTCCTCATACCCTCTTCTCGTCCCTCTCCTCATCCCCTCTCCTCGTCTCGTCTCGTCGCCACCCCGCGTCCTCTCTCAGATGTTTCTTCCCCCCCTCCTTTTCCTCCTCCTACTCCTGCTTTTCTTTCTCCTCCTCCTCGTCCTCCTCCTCCTCCTTGTCCTCCTCCTACTCCTCCTCCTTGTCCTTCTCCTCCTCCTCCTCCTCATCCTCCTCCTCCTCCTCGCTCTCTCCATCCTCCCGTCACCCCAATCAGCATCCCTCCTCCCTCATCCTTCTTTCTTCTCCCCCCGCCACTTTCCATAAAAATAACCTCTCCTCGCCGCACCGCCAGAAGTGCCAGTAGGGCGGACTGGGCTGTTCGCCTGGTACACCCTTACAGCGCACGGTCCTGAAGCTTGCACGCTTTCAAGATGCAACTCTCACATTAGCGCTGCGCACAAATTGTGCAAAGGCGTTCAACCGTTACACGGATGGAAGGTGGGCCGTTTACAAAAAGTTGTTCTCGCCTTGGCGCTGAACAGATTCGTCGCACAAACCCACAACAGGTACACGAATCGACGCGAGGTGACTTTCGAAATTCGGCTCTCGCTTTGGCACCTCACACATTCGTGCTGAAAGCTTGCAACAATGTTTGCCAGCATGTACCCAAAACATGAAGGTACTGCACTGTGGGCGTGCGAGGTATGTGGTACAAGCTACGTCGTGTAAGCTGTGTGGTGCAAGCTGCGTGGTACGAGCCATGTGGTGCAAGCTATGTGATACAAGTGTTGTGTAAGACATGTGGTGCGCTATGTCGTGCAGGTGTAAAGAAGGCGACGCAGGCTCTGTGGTGCAGTCTGCGTTGCAAGCCATGCGGTGCCATCTGTGTGATGCAAGCCACATGGTGTAAGCTGCGTGTTGAAGACATGTGGTTTATGTGGTACCAGCTATCTGTATATAGCTATGAGGAAGGGATGGGGGAGGAGGAGGAGGAGGAGGAGGAGGAGGAGGAGGAGGAGGAGAAAGAAGAGGAGGAAGAGGAGGAAAGGGAGGAGGAGAAGTGGTGCATACGGGATCCTGGCGTATGCATTCTTCGCCGTTTCCCCGGGAGAACGGACGGGGACACATCGGGCCGGGCGAGAGGGGGGGATAGCAAAGGGGGGGCTTGAGAATCAGCTCACGTAGCTGAGTTTCCCGGCGCCTCCCGGCGCCAGGAGGCGCCCATGTATCGAGGAATAGGCGTGGCGGCGGGGCCGAAACCAGTTGCACGCAGCAGATTTCGTAACCCCCCCTTTCCCTATCCCCCCTTTCGTTCGGCCCGAACAAACCTCCCTTCAGTTCACTCCTGTTTAGTGAGAGCGGCCTTGGACCGAAACCGACGGACCTGGACCTGCAAAAATGACGGCCGCGACGCCCCCTCGGGAACCGAAAACTGCCAGTTCCCCAATCGACGTATCAGGGCAGGAGGTCTATCAACCTCCGGGGATAGGTTGAGAGCAGGGCTCTTGCTTGAATCTTCTTACGGTCATATGACCCCGTTCTTCTAACTGCAACAATCACACAGATGCAGCGTGGCTGTGTTCTTTTTTCCAGAGTTTGGCCATGCCTTGGAACTCCAGTCCTTTGAACTCGAATCTTACACATGCGTGACAGAGAGTGGCTCCTTGTCAATATGGGCGATCGCGCTGGACCTTCTTCATATGGTGACCCGAAATTTGAAAATCTGCACCTGTCACACGGATGGAGAGCGGCTGCTTTCCAGAATGTGCTATCGCTTTCCGCTCGCACATCTTTTAACCAAGCATGAGAATAGCAACTATCACACGGACGGAGGGCGATTCCTTTTCATAACCAGCCCTCGCTAGGGACTCCATCGGTCTTCATGGCGGGAAGCTTACAACCTCGCAAAAGCTACACGGATGGAGAGACATTCTGATTCAAAAAACACCAGCCCTCGCTCGATGCGTTGCATCGTCTCCTCCTACACAACGTCATCCCGGTTAGCCGCAAGGGTGCAGGGCGGCTGCTTCTCAAAACGGGGCTTCTGCCTAAAGAGAAGATCGACGGGGCGTTCGTGTTTCGAGGGGCGCGCTCCACGTAGTGAGAAAGGATGTTTGCAGGGATCCCTGAGAAGGGACTTGCAACTGTAGGGCATGTTGCAACATAGTCGATCGTATCCCATGGTCACTCTGATCCTCCACTTCCTCCAGTCCTCCTCTTCTTCCTCCTCCTCATCCTCATCATCAGCATCAGCATCATCATCATCATCATCAGCAGCAGCATCAGCATCAGCATCATCATCATGATCATCATCATCATCATCAGCAGCAGCATCATCATCAATATGGTCATCATCATATACATGTTCCTCCTCACAGTATCAGCATATTCCTGACCACCATCGCCATCATTACCACCATCATCACGAGAATCAGCATCATCCTCATCATCATCATCAGCATCAGCATCATCATCAGCATCATCATCATCCTCATCGTCATCACCATCAGTAACATCATCACCAGCACCATCATCATCATCGTCATCATGATCATCACCATCATTAGCATCATCAGCATCATCACAATCACCATCATCAGCATCATCAGCATCGTCATCATCTTCGAGACCCGCATAATCATCAGCACCATCATCATCACCATGATCAGTATCATCCGCATCAGCATTACAGCTCTCATGACCAGCATCGTCATTGCCAGCATCCTCGTCGTCATCACGTATATCCTCGTCACCCGCATCATCATCAGCGTCACCATGATCAGCAGCAGCAGCCGCACGATCAGCACCGCCATCATCATCAACAGCAGCATCCTCACCATCATAACCGTCATCAGCATCAGCACCATCATCAGCATCATCAACAGCATCATCATTATCATCGGCATCGTCACCGTCACTTGTATTATCCGTATGGTATTATCTTCATTACCAATAGCGTCATTATGATCATCAGCACCCTCATCATCAGCAGCAGCAACATCAGCCGCATCAGTTTCATCCTCATCGTCATCGTCATCACCATCATCCTCCCCTATCATCATCAGCGACATCAGCAGCAGCATCATCATCATCAACATCATCGCCATCAGAGGCATCATCATCAGAGTCGACATCCTATTCTTTTCAACGTCAACATCTCCATCCGCACCATCATCATCATCATCATCATCATCATCATCATCATCATCATCATCATCATCATCGTCATCGTCATCGTCATCGTCATCGTCAGCGTCAGCAGCATCATCATCATCATCGTCGTCATTGCCAGCTGCAGCAGAAGGGCGGCTTTCGAGCCGCCCTGCGAAAGGGCGGGCATCCCAGCGCTCGGCGCCAACCCCCCAGCATGCCGCCCGAGTCTGGGCACGCGCGCGCGCAGCCGCCCCCTTCTGGTGTGGCACCGTGGCCTCCGCCGCCCGCGCGGTGGCCGCGCACCTCTTCTGCGCCGCAGCGCGGCAGAGCCACTCCGCACGCGCGCCCAGCAGGCCGGGCGACGACAATGCGAAATGTCCCGGATGCAAAAGAAGAGGGAGAGAGGGGGTCAGGAGGTGATTGACAAAAAAAAGGCCAAAGACATTAGAGATAGGAGATCTTTTCCGTGGATGCATCAGACCGAACCGCCAAGAATCATGATCCCTATTGCGAAGACGGGGACCTCAGTGAGGCCGCGTCTTCATCGCATTCTTAGGGTCAGGGGGTCTGGTCGGCGCCTCGCACCTGGACTCCACCTCCGCGCCTCGCAGAGGGGGTGCCGTCTTCCGCGCCGCCTTCGGGACCGATCCTGGACCTGAAAACGTAGCAACGACGGCGCCCAAAGCACACGAAAGCGCCGATCTTCCAAAACGGAAACAAAAACCCACCGCGGTTTCGTTTTTTGTTCCCCTGCCCTCCTGCGCTGGGTGCTCGTTTTGAATGAAGCACTGCGGTCGCGCAGCCCTTCCTCCTCTCCCTCGCCCTTTGCCCTCCCTCCTTCTTCCCTCCTCCTGCCGTCTGCCTCCTCTTCAATGCGCAGCTCCCTGGGTGCCTGCGAACTGTGCAACTGTCGCCACCGTCGTGGGCTCATGGGAGGCACGGCGGAGCCGCGGAGTACCCCGAGACCTCGCAGCTTCCCCGGGGGCTGCGAACTGCACAGTTGTCGCCACTGTCTTGAGATCCTGGGAGGCATGACGAGGTCGCGAAGTATCCGAGACCTCGCTGCTCCGTTGGGTGGCTGCGAACTGCCGAACTGTCGCCAATTTCGTGGGCTCCTGGGAGGCACGGCGGAGTTGCGGAGTATCCGGGACCTCGCAGCTTCCTGGGGGGCTGCGAACTGCGCAATTGTTGCCGATGTGGGCTCCTGGGAGGAACGGCGGAGTCGCGGCGTAACCGAAACCTGGCAGCTCCTTGGATGGCTGCGAACTACGCAACTGTCGCCACTGTCGTTGGCTCCTGGGAGGCACGGCGGAGTCACGGAGTGCCCGAGATTCCGCAGCTCTCTGGGGGGCTGCGAACGGCCGAACTGTCACCATTTTCGTGGGCTCCTGGGAAGCCCAGCGGAGTCGGGGGCCACGCGCACCCATTTGAGACCTCGCTGCTCCCTGGGATGCTGCGAGCTGCGCAATTGTCGCCAGTCGTTGGCTCCTGGGAGGTCCAGCGGAGTCGGGGGCCACGCGGATCCAGCCGAGATCTCGCGGCTCCGTGGGAGGCTACGAAGTGCTCATTTGTCGCTACTTTCGGGACTCGTAGGAGCCACGGCAGAGCTGAGGGCAGCGCAGATCGTGCATATCTGGCGAAATGTTTTTGTGTATCGGCCGCTCATGCAAAGATTCGCCTCGCGTGGAGAAGGGGTTGAGCACATCTCGGGTAAGTAGAACCTCTAAGCTATGACTACGACCGAACTTGGTGATGCCAATGCATGGTCGCTGGCTAGCTAACCATCACCACCACGGTCATCATCAGCATCATCATCAGCAGCAACATCAGCATCATCAGCATCCTCATCATCATAAGCAGCAGCAGCAGCATCATCATAACCATCAGCATCCGTATCATCATCATCATCATCATCATCATCATCATCATCATCATCATCATCATCATCATCATCCTCATCATCATCATCATCATCATCATCGTCATCAGCAGCAGCAGCATCCTCATCATAATCATCATCATCCCCATCACCATCAGAATCGCCAACATCGCCATAATTTATATAATCGGCATCGTCATCATAACAGCAACAGCATCCTCATCATCAGCATCAGCATCATCAGCAGCAGCATCATCAGCAGCATCATCATCATCATCATCATCAGCAGCATCATCATGGTCATCATTATCAGCAGCATCATCATCAGCAACAGCATCATCGTCATCGTCATCGTCATCGTTATCACCACCACCATCATCAGCAGCAGCAACAGCATCATCATCATCGTCAGCTTCATCATCATCATCATCATCAGCATCATCATCATCATCACCATATCATCATCAGCATCAGCATCATCGTCATCAGCATCGTCATCATCATCAGCATTAGCATCATCAGCATCAGCATCATCAGCAGCAGCATCAGTATGGTCGTCGTCGTCTTCGTCGTCAGATTGACCATCAACGCCAGCACCACAACCATCATCAGCATCAGCAGCAGCAGCATCATCATCAGCATCATCATCACCATCAGCATCATCACCGTCGCCACCAACAACCATGTCTCCATCACTATACCCATTACTAGTCCCACTCCTCCTGGTGGCAGCGGCCCGCCAAGCGACGGCACGGCGAGCCAACGTCCTGCGGCTGCTGCTGGGACGCGCCTTTGGCGAACAGGCGCCGCCTTCAAAACGGCGCCAGACATGGAGGAGAGAGAAGAGAGGGAAAGAGTGCGAGGGGCGAGCGAGCGAGCGAGAGAGAGAGAGAGGAAAGAAAGAGAGAGAGAGAGAGAGACAGAAACAGAGACAGAGGCAGTGAAGGATAGAGAAAGAGAGAGAGCAAAGAAGAGAGAGAGATAGAGAAAAGCAGATAACCGGACAGACAGACAGGCAGACAGACAGATAGACAGGTAGGCAGGCAGACAGACAGACAGACAGAAAGACAGACAAACAGACAGGCAGGCAGGCAGACAGACAGACAGAGAGAGACAGAGACACAGAGAGACAGAGATACAGAGAGACCGAGATACAGAGAGAGAAAGAGAGAGAGAGAGAGAGACAACAGGAAAGAGAGAGAGAAAGAGAGGTGAGAGAGATAACAAAACAAAACAAGAAAAGGAAGAGACGAGGAGAGGAGGGAGAGGGAGAAGAGGGAGGAGAGCGAAGACGAGCGAGGAAGATACAAACCCGTTTCCACTGGTGCCGCTTCCCAAAATCTGCTTTCTCGGAACCGCTTCCCCCGATGGCCCTTTCCCCAGAGGCCACTTCCACGGAGACCGCTTCCACAGAGAACTGCTGCCCGCAACCATGTCCGCAGATCCTTTTCCCCAGAATCGCTTCCCGAACCCCTTCTGCAGATCCCTTTCCCCTGAACCGACTCCCAGTAACCGCTTCCACGGATCCGTCTGCTGGAACCCTCTCCCCACACCCTCCTCCCCAGAAGCTAGGGCTCCCAACTTCGCGCTTCGCGCTGCGCGAAGCGCGAATAACTTCGCGCTCTCGCGCCGCCCTCCCAAAGGGAGAATAGGAGGACGAGGAGGAGGGGGAGAAGGAACGAGGACCGCGAAGCGCGAAGCGCGAATAACTTCGCGCCCTCGAGGGAGCCCTTGCAGAAGCCTCTTTCCCAAACCTGTGTCACAACTCCTCCCACATCGGGCGCGGTCCTCCCACCTCCGTGCCTCCCACAACCTTCCCAGCTCCTCCCCGCTCCTCCGCACTCCCCAGAACCCCTCCAATCCCCGGCACGCTCCCAGCTCCGCCTTTTCCTCACCCCTCTGAAAACATCACAATCCTCTCCGCTCCTCCGAACTCCTCCCCACACCTCCCAACTCATACCATTCTTTCCCACTCCTCCGCACGCATCCCCTCTCCTCTTTAGTCCTCCAAGCTCGTCCCATTCCTCCAAACTCCTCCGCACTCCCCCCAACTCATCCCCACTCGTCCCCGCGGGAAGGAGGGAACGAGAGAGGGAGAGGGACCATAAAAAAGATGCGTCAGCAAGACTGCAATACACTGTCCCGCCCAAAGCCACCTTCTTATAAATCCCTACAAGCATTCCTTTTCACTGCAACAAGCGCCACCTTGTACCTTGCAAGACCAGCACCCGATAGGCTTGCCATTTAGGCGACGGACCCTGCACTGCATCCCTTTAGCGAACGATGCAGATCGCGAAAAGGTACGATCATACAGTTCACACAGGTGTCCAGCGGGATCACCGTTTTGGAAAAGGACCACCCCCACTGGTGCGAACGACGCGCAAAACACGCTTCTGGTAATGAACGTCGAGGGCGTCTCGAGCGAGAGCCCCATTTCGACGAGGAGCCGACCTCCATCCGTTCAGCTGTTACACATGTTCAAGTGTGTGGAATGCAAGCTTGAAAAATATCGTGCGGATGCTCCGTTCTGACAGGAACTTCCTCCATCCATTCGGCTCCTGCGAAAGTTCAAGACGAATGTGTGCGGCGCTAAGGCGAGTGCCAGATGTTGAAAAGAAAGCGCCCTCCGCCCTTGAGACTGCTACGAAAATTCGAGACGCATTTGCGCGGCGCTAAGGCGAGAGCCCCGCTTTGATAAGGACCCGCCCTCCACCCTGGAAACTGATGCAAACTGTCATGATGAAGGGTGCGCAGCGCTAAGGCAAGAGCTCCATAACAAAACCAAACAAACAAAAAACAAAACAAAACAAACAAACGGCATTGTTTGAAGAAGCAACGACGTGTACTCCGTCCGTGGAACTGCTGCGAATTTGTAAAGCGAATGCGCGCGACACTGAGGCGATAGCCTCATTTTGAAAACCACCCCCCTCCATGCACGTAGCAGGCAAAACGCCTGGCCCGTCTCACCGACACGCCTGTGGGTGCGACAGGGGGGGAGCCATATGCAAGGGGAGAAAGGAGGAGCAGCAGCAGCAAGAGGAAGAGGAGGAGGAAGGCAGGGAGACCGAGCTGGAGGAAGAGGAGGAGGGGACGGGGAGGAGCAACAGGAGGGAGGCGGGAGGGGCCAGGATCAAGGCGGGAAGAGCCGGGAGGAGACGGGAGGAGCCGGGAGGAGGAGGAGGAGGAGGAGGAGTGGGAGGAGGAGGAGGAGGAGGAGGAGGAGGAGGAGGGGGAGGCGGAGGAGTCCGTAGCCATTTTGGCTCAAGTAATCCATTTCTCGAGGTGGCTTACAGTGAGCTATTGTTGGTGCTCTCACGATCCCTGTTCGAGCCTGCCCGAGGCCTTACAGGTTCCTTTCGGCTATCCATGAAAGGCCAGGGTTGGTACAACCACTGGCAATCCCCGTTCTCGCAGTATCATGGCGCTCAGCAGTACGGTAGTTGGAAGCCTCAGGGACAGCCATCCTCCAAAGTTGTGTGCCAGGGTTGCGGCTGCAAGAAGAATCGCCTCACGTGGTCCCACTGCATGCACTGCAAAGCCCCGCTGCAAAGTGTGCCTGGCAGTCCGTTTGGTGGCAGTCATCACGTGTCTGAGTGGAACGGTGTTCCTCCAGGTGTTTTCGCAGCTTCTCCCTTTTCCAACGCAGGAGGTCCTGGCTCAAAAGGCTTGGGCAAAGGCCCTGGAGGAGTTGCAGCCATGGGAGGAGGCGCAAGCGGTGGGAAAGGTGTTGCGGGACAGCCTCCGCTCCCGACTGGTCCCGTGCCGAACCTCAGCCTGGCCGAGGCAAAGCAGCTCGCTGAGCTGTCGCAGAAGGCGGGGGACTCGGCCGCGTTCAAGCGCTACTCTGATCTCGCAAAGCACTTGGAGAACGCTCAGAAGCCCCCGCCTGCAGTGTCCCCTCAGACGAAGTTACAACAAGCCGACAGTGCAGTCAAGAAGCTTGAGAAGAAGCTCGAGGCCGACCTCGCGCGGATGCTCAGGCTACAGAACGATCTGGAGGAAGCGACAACCAAGATGCATGATACCAAGTCTGCTTTGGCCAAGGCGGACCAGGATTACAAGAATGCCTTGGCGGAATGCAACGAGAGTGCCAAGATCGGGACGCCCAACATCGTGTCGAAGGCGCAGTTCACACCAGTACCGTTGGGCGACCTGGTTGAAGGCAAAGTCGATATCAATTCTCTCTTGTCGTGTGACCTGCTGGACGAGCTCAGCCTGGAGTACGAAGTTACGGAGACCGACCGCATGGAGTTCGAGAAGCGGAAGGAGTCGTTGCGTGACGGAGTGCAGAAGCTGGCATCTGACCTTTTCAAGCAGGTTGTCGACGCCGTGCAGGATGCGAAAAATGTCCACGTGCTTCACATGTCCCGTCTCATCCCGAAGCGCAGGAAGAACAACGAGGGCGGCGCACAGCCAGCGGGTGCGCCAGAAGAAGGTGAAGTTCAGGTTCCACGCGCTGCTGCTCAGGGTGCTGCTGCCGCTGCAGCCGCCACAGGTGAAGGTGATCGGGAAGCAGGTGTGGAACCCGTCCCAACTGATGGCGAACAGGATGCAGAGATGGCTGAGCCTGCTGGGCAAGAGCCCGACGGGCGTGATGTGCGTGAGAGGGCCGCTGAGGCTTTGGCAGCATCGGCCCCGCCGCAGGCGGCAACTGCAGCTGCCGCGGCAGGCCAGCACTCTCTTTAGCCTAGGGCAGCGTGTCCTGGCCAGTAACTTTTTAGCTTTTAAGGACTACGCCGACAGGAAATCCGTGATTAACTCCAAGTCGCACCTGTCGGGTATTAGATATTTCCGTAGATTGCTGCATCAGTGTCCTGGCTTGTCGGGTAGCGAACGGTCTGGGTTTCAGGCCTTTACGGCTCCCCTCCTTCCAGGATCTGTTGTTGTGCCCCCAGGCATCGCCCAGGCTCCCCCTAACCTCACCTCCCCGTTACCTGTCGGATCTGCCACGGGCTCTGGACCAGGTGGTTTTGAAGTTTTTGAAGGAGGAGTTTCGGTGGTGACTGCCAATCTCAACTCTTGGGGCACTCTCAAGTCGTACCTGGAGTCGTCGGACGCGTCTGTCATCCTGGGCCAGGAACATCGCCTTTTGGACCCTGATGCCATTGCGCAAGCCTCTTCGTCTGCTCTGAAGCTCGGCTGGAAGTCGACCTGGTGCCCCGGTATCCCTGGAGAAGGTGGAGGGGTCAGCTCGGGCACTGCTAGTTTTGCGCGCGACGGCTTCGGCATGTTTGCAGCGTCTACCACAGTGGTGGTGCCTGGCAGAGCAGTAGCAGCTATGGTCCATGCACCTGGTTGTGAAGCTATCTGTATGGTCTCTATCTATCTTATCCACTCGGAAGGTCTCTCGGAGGGCAACCTCAAAATTCTGTCTACGGTGGGGGAATTTTTGGCGAGTCTGACCTGTGAGTTTGTTTTGGGGGGTGATTGGAACTTGACCCCTGACATCCTGGAGGACTCGGAGTTCGACCTCCTGCTCTCGAGCCAGATCATTCCCCCCCGAGTGAAACGTGTTTCCCCAGCAAGGGCAAGGCATCTGTTTTTGATTTCTTCCTGGTCTCGCGGTCTCTTGCCAAAGGAACCGAGTCGATTCAGGTGGACGCCCTTGCTGGCACGAGCCCCCATTTCCCCGTCAAGTTAAGGTTCCACCCCTCCCTGATGGATCTCAAGGCTCTCGCCTTCCGTCGTCCCCCTCCGCTTCCTGTGGTTCCCCCTGTGGGCCCCCAGCCTCAGGAAGGCGACTGGTCTGGGGCTTTGGAAGTTGCTCGGAGGGGGTATGAAGCGGTTATTAACCACGACTTTTCCTTGGCTGTTAGTACTTTGGACTCAGGCTATTCCTCTTGGGCTAGGTCTGCGGAGCGGGTCCTCGCCAACATCATGGGTGTGGAGCTTGGTGCGCAGGGAGCCAGAAGCAAGAGTCCGCAGATGTACTGGAAGCCAATTCTTAGGCCTGCAGGGCGGGCGCGAGACGTTCATGTTAAGCCTATTTACTGGTTGCACGCTCAGTTGCATGCGCTTGTCTGCTACAGCCAGGACTGGACCGTCAACGCTCGCAATGCATCTCATATCCTCAAGTCTCTTGCTGAACCAGATGTAGCGGTCCAGCCTCCTGCTGATAGCGACTTTGCTGTAGTGTTCCGTGTTGCCGCTAGCTTAGGCAAACGTGGCCTTAGCTTATCGCAAGATAGGTTGACCGAATTTCGATCGGAACTTGAGGAGTTGGCTGATGAGGTGATCGGTCGCTGTTCAAAAGCTAAGGCGCGGGCGGCCAACTCCTCGAGGACTGCCTGGCATGACTGGCTACGGGCTGGTCTGGACAACGGGGGCCGTCGAGCCCACGCCGCCTTGAAGGATCCTGAAGGTTGGACGCCCTCCACCACTCTTTCCTCCAACGGGGTTGTGGTTGCTGACCCCAAACACCTTTTGAAAGCCGAAGGAGACAAATTCGATGTCAGTTGGGGAAGGGGCACTGGAACGGGCATTGGAGATGACTCTATTCTCCTGCCCCCCTCCCTCCTCACTCCTCTTGAGCTTCGGGACATTTCTAGAACTTACCAGGAGCGAAGCGCTGTGTCCCTGGACGGATTTCATTGCCGCCATTTTTCTGTCCTCGGCGACCAGGCTTTGCAGGCTATGAGTTTTCTTCTGTTTGTCATTGAAGCGACGGGCAGGCTGCCTAGACAGCTTGCTTGGGTGCTGCTCGCGCTTCTGCCCAAGCCTGCGGGCGGGTTCCGCCCAATAGGGATCTTTCCTGCTTTCTATAGGGTGTGGGGAAGGGCGAGGAGGAACGAAGTTGCGCAGTGGGAGGCTGACAATCCTAGAGTTTACTGGGCCGCAGGTGCCAACCGCGGCCCAGTCGACGTCGTGTGGAGGCAACCCTTTCGAGCCGAGGTCGGCACGCGCAAAGGAGATTTCTCGGCTTCCTTGTTTTGGGATTTCAGGAAATATTACGAACATATCGGGTTAGGCTTCCTCTGGGGTAAGTGCCGTGAGCATGGTTTCCCGCTCTCCCTGGCCAGGCTTGCCATTAACGCCCTTTCGGCCGCGAGGTTTTTGGCGCTGAATGGTCTTGTGGAGGGCCTGTACTTCGTGTTAAACGGGATCATCGCGGGTTGCAGCCTGGCTACTTCCCTGATCCGCGTTTTCGCGATGTCGGCCTTCGACGAGATCCCTCGGAGCGCGAAAATCGACTTCGACGTCTACATAGACGACACTTCTCTGAGCAAGACTGGTTCTTTTCGTGAAGTTGTGCAGGGTATCGTCGGAGGTGCCAAGGTCTTGCATCGTGCTATCACTGCCACACTTAAGTGTAAGCTGGCCATGGATAAGATCGGGCTTGTGACGTCACATAAGAGTGTTGCGAATAGTATCCATGACCAGCTCGGGCCCTTAGCTGGAGAAGCTAAGGCGAGCATTGTCAACTTAGGTATCGACGCAGCTGCTGGCAAAGCTGTCCGAGCTCGCGGACAAGGTAGAGCCTCAAAGTTGAAGGCGCGTTTAGCTGCAGCGGCGCGCAAGGCTTGCAGGCTTCGGAAGCTTCAAAAGCCCCTCGGGCGAAAAGCCACTAAATTTTTTGCGGCTGGCCCCATGGCTGGCGGGATTTTCGGGACCGAGGTTTATGGGGTTTCGGACCGTGAGCTTTTAGCTTTGAGGAGAATGGGCATGAGCACGATTAAGCCTCGCGCGCAAGGCCGCTCTCTGTCTGTCATCTCTCTCCTGGAGGGAGACCCCCCTTGGAGGGCGGCCGTGGCTCCGATTGTCCGCTGGTCGCGAGAGATCTGGATTCTTCAGACCCATAGTTTCGTGTGGAGTCTGTCCTGGGCCGAGCTCGGAGCTGGCTGGGAACATGTTTTTCTGGTTGACGACCTCAGTTGGAGTAAAGTTTCGGGTCCGATTTCCGCTCTTAGGATGTCCCTGTATAGGCAGGGCTGGACTATGCCGAACTTTTGCACCCTCAAGGACGATTTCGGCCGAGAAATTTCGTTGACTTTGAACACCCCTCAGATGATTAAATTGCTTTGCAAGGAGGCCGTGTTTCGTGGTCTGGAACGGGACTCTGGGGACAGCTATGGGGCTGGTCATAGGCTCTGTTGGGATGTGGCCAAGCACCTATTAGGCTCTTCTAAGGTTCCCAAGAAGGACAAGGGCCTCATCAGGGCCCTCGCTTGCAGAGGATTCTGGACGGCATCCGACGCAGTGGCAGCTGGATACGTTTCTATTTCGCCCCTGTGCGCGCGCTGTGGCCAAGCCAACGATACCCTTTTTCATCGGCTGTGGCAGTGTCAGTGTGCAGAGATCCGCGCCATTCGTGATGCGGTTGTGCCTACTTGGATTCAAGAAGAAGCTCTCGACACCTCGGCTGAAGGTTACGACCGCTTATTGTTTCTGTATGGATGCTTCCAACACCCTGGAGATGTGTTCCCTAAGCCGGCCTCGAGTGGAGGAGTGGAGATCAAGTGGCACGTGGCAGAGGTCCCCTCTCCTCACCCCGACTCTCCTCCTGTCCTCCCCTCCGATGGGCTCTGGGGGCACGTTTTCACCGACGGTTCCTGTCGTCGGCATTTGGTCCGTGAGCTCTCGAGGAGCTCCTGGGGCCTTGCGATGGTTTCTAACGATGGTTCGCTCCTTGGGGAAGTTTCAGGCCCTCTCTGGGCCCCTTGCCCTCAGACGCCCCAAGGAGCGGAATTCGGTGCGTTTCTCTGGTCGAGCTGTTTCGCCTCTGCCGAGACTGATCTGTATATCGATTGCAAGAATGTAGTCGATCAGGCAGGCCTCTCTGCTGCTCGAGCTTTCTCCCACAAAAAACAGTACGGAGGAGCTATCTTGCAAGCACGGCATCTCTTCGGCGGGTTCTTTCGCTCCTGCACGAAGGTGCAGGCTCACAAGGCTTTAGACGAGGAAGGTATTTCTGCTTTCGAGCGCTTTGCGCGGCAAGGGAATTACTTTGCAGATCATGTAGCGAAGAGTGCCTTACAGAAGCACCCTTCTGCTGACCCGCGTGACCTTGACGAGCTGGACAGGAAAATTAAGATTGCCAAGCATGTCTTAAAGCTAGGCGCTGCTATTCTTTTGGAGTGGCCGCATCTTGAATTCAGAGGCTCCGAGAGAGTCAACCCTCCCCTCTCGGCCCCAAAACTGGTGCTGGCTCACTCGTGGAAGCGCTCGAGTGGGCTTTGGAGGTGCGAGGTTTGTTTAAAGGGTTCCACGATGCCTGAGGATAAAAGTCCGCCAGATAGTGTGTGCCCTGGGAAGTCCAAACTGGATCAGGGTGTGCTGGAGAGACTAGGACACAGGGTGATCGCTCTGCCGTGCTCTGACGCCTCTCATATTTTCGTGTGCTTGTCCTGTAAATTTTATTCGAGTGGTGCGCAGGTGCTGGGCCTCGGTCGCGTGTGCAGGCCCCCCACTGTCACTGGAATTCGGAATTTCAGAAAGCTCAAGAAAGGCTATCACCCTGACAAGGAGGGAGTTTCAGTCTTCTGCGACGAATTCAAAGCATTAATGTAAGAATTCGTGGCCATGCTCTGTGTGTGTCTCGGCTCAGTGCATGGCAGTCCAGTCTCGGAGGCATGGCGGTGCGAGGTCAAAAAAAAAGGGAGGCGGAGGATGAGGAGGAGGAGGAGGGGGGGAGGAGGAGGAGGAGGAGGAGGAGGAGAGGAGGAGGAGGAGGAGGAGAGGAGGAGGAGGAGGAGGAGGAGGAGGCGGGGGAGGAGGAGGATTGAGGAGGAGGAGGAGAAGGAGGAGGAAGACTCGGCGCGGGAGCCCAGCAGCGAAGGCCCCAGCGGCTCACAGGAAGTAGTCCGGAGAGCGCTTCTGCCCGCTCTCCGGCGGCGGCTCCTTCTGCAGGGGCGGCGGGTCGAACTGCAGGAACGTGTACCTCCCGGGCGGGGGAGGGGGAGGAGGAGGAGGAGGAGGGGGAGGAGGAGGGGGAGGAGGAGGAGGAGGAGGAGGAGGAGGAGGAGGAGGAGGAGGAGGAGGAGGAGGAGGAGAGGAGGAGGAGGAGGAGGAGGAGGAGGAGGAGGAGGAGGAGGAGGAGGAGGAGGAGGAGGAGGAGGAGGAGGAGAGCAGGGGAGGGGGAGGGGGAGGGGAAGGAGGAGGAGGAGGAGGGAAAGAAGGACGTGTAAGCCCTCCGGAGAAGCCCTTCGGAGAAACTGGGGAAGAAGCGGGGGGCAGAAGAAGAAATGAGGGGAAGAGATACGGTAGAGAGAAACAATTACTGAACACTCCCCCTCCCCCCCCCGAACGAGGGTGACCGCGGTCCAGGTGCAGCTCGTCAGGCCCAACGCCAACTTTGAACATTGGGGGAGGGGGAGGCGTTGGCAGATGAATATGGCATGAGTGTTCGCTATGTTCCAAGGCCTGTACGGTACGACACGAATGCCATTGGGGCCTCTTCGTCTGACATTCTCGCACGCGAGCAGCTCTCACAGAGAAGCATAAGCATCAAGGCTGGGACATCCCAACATATGAACGTCAAATCGGGATTTGACATCCGATCTGGCCCTGTGCAGCACAGTGTGCCAACCTCTCTGCACTTCAAGACGCGGCCCGGCGGCGGCCACATAGCCGCTGGCTGTGGGGCACCCCCGTCTGCTGAGAAGTCCCAGCCCGGGGCCCCGCTAGCATTAGGTCGGGCATGTCCTCCTACAGGCGGATGTTGGAAGGCATCTGAAAATTTGCCAATACATAATTCTCAAAATAGGCTTGCCCTACAGGAGTTCTAACTCAAACCCTACTAATTGGTTCCAATGCCCCCCCCCCCCTAAATCTTATGGCTATGCCTATGCCTATGCCTGTGCCTATGCCTCCCCCCTAACTCCTATGCCTACGCCTACGCCTATGCCTACGCCTATGCCTGTTCCTGTGCCTATGCACCATCTCTGAGCGCTCCTATGCCCATGTCTATGCCTATGCCTATGCCTATGCCTATGCCTATGCCTATGCCTATGCCTATGCCTATGCCTATGCCTATGCACCACCTCTGAGCGCTCCTCCACCCCTTTGCATCATCGCCAGCACCATCAGCACCACCATCGTATAGGCTTGCCCTATAGGAGTCCTAGCTCATCGTAAGTAATTGGTCTTTAGGACCCCCCTTTTTCCAATGGCACCCTCCCCATATTTCCACCTTCTGAGAAGGCCTTCCCCTTCTCATTTCCCCCCCTCGCTCGCCGCCGATCGTACACATCATCGCATTGGAATACCCCTCATGGGCAGCCCCCCACTCGGCAACGGGCCCAGAGGCTGCCTGGGATGCGATGCGAAACACACGTGGCTCACGAGAAGACGGCGAGCGCGTTGGGCGCCAGGCCGTCGTGGCCGGGGCCGCGCCTCCGCGTGCCAAATGCAAGACAACAGTACGAGGTATGTGCGAGAACAGCGCTCCTGCACTGTGCCGTGTTTGGGCTTCCTCCGGGCCCCGCTCCAGCGCGGTACGGTGCACGGTGTTCGGCCCTGACGGCCGAATGAACTGTGCACCGTGCCATTCCTGCATCGAGGATCGACGACGCCGTGGGAGACGCCAACACGGCACGGGCATGCAAATTGTCCGCGGAGCACTCCCAGAAGATGCTGTTCAATCCGATCTAGAGCACTCGCTGCAGCAAGCTCCAGGCCACAACAGGAAGCTGGCGCAAGTAGTACAATCCGTGAAAATCTGGCCCGCAAAAGCAACCGATTGAAGAAGGCTTTGATCGCACGATGTTCGTCTCCATCATATCAGGAAGGTGCGTGCTGGCTCACATGAACCTGCAAACGCCTTTGTATGTGTATGTATGTGTATACGTGTAAGCATGTATGTGTAAAAGTGTTTACATATCTGTGTATATGCATACAAAATGTCTATACATATATATATATATATATATATATATATATATATGTATACATATATCCGCCGGCCCATTCCGGGAGCGCAAAGCTGCGAAGATGTGTGCGGTCTGCTGTCATGCGTTATGTGTTGTCATTTGTGGTTTGGCCTTTTGTCTCTCCGGTCCTGTCTCCCCATGCTTCCTGTTTACTCTCTGCCCGGGGGCCCCACCGCGCCACCAAACAGCCAACGGGGGGGGGGGACATCAAATCCTGGCTGATCGGGGCCAACCCAGGATTCTCATGGTGACGCCACCGCGCGGCCAAACGGCCCGAGAGGCCTCCAAGATTGCCCAAAGAGGCTCCGAAGAGAGCCTCAGGAACCCAAGACGGCCCAAGATGGCCCCAAGATGTCTCACGATGGCCCCAAGACGGCCCAAGATGCGGCCAAGACGGCCCAGGAGGCCTCCAAGAGATCTCCAAAGAGGGCCCCACAAAGAAAAAAAACAGCAATTTCGTAACGTATTGAAAAATATGAGGCCCATCCACAAACCGAAAACTCAACCTTTCCGCCCCAAGAGGGCCCCAGGAGGCCCCAAGAAGGCCCCAAGAGGCCCCAAGAGGCCCCCAAGAGGCCCCGAGGATACCCCAAGAGACCCAAAGTATACCCCAAGAGGCTCCAAAACGGCTTCCAAGAAACTCCAACAATGACCCGCAGACGCTGCCGATAAGCCTGCCACGAGAAGCACCCACGGCGCTGTCCACGCAGCCGCACGCACTAGTAATAGGGGGGCCGGCGGCAGAGAGCGAAGCCCTTGAGATGTGCATACGAGAACCATCGTGCGCGCTTGACGCGCGCTCAAGTTCTAGCTAGGCTGGATGGTCGAACTCTTGGGGATCTCTATCTTGTGATACTTCTTCTCCGGGGCTTCCAAGAACCACGAAGACGGTCCAAGTGGCTTCCAAAACCTCCGACGGTCCACACACGGCGACCTAAGACCATCACAAGAGGCACTCCGGGGCCCTTTTGTTTACCAAGGCTGGACGTGGCCAGAGAAGAGGGAGGAGAAGGGGAGGTGAAGGGGTTCCCTGGGGGAGAAGAAGGAGGAGGAGCTGGAAAGGGTGGAGGAGGCCGTAAGGGAGGAGAAACAGGAGGAGGGAGAGAAGGAGGGAAATACTAGACTCCGCGTTGTTGCAAGCGTAGCGAAGCTGCCAGGCGAACTCGAAAAAAGGACGTGTTGGAATTCCTGCTTTTCCCGTGCCGCCGGGGCTTCTCTTGGGGCTCTCTTGGGCCTCTCGAGGCCTGCTGGAGGTCTCCCGGGGCGAAGACCTCGGGTCTCGGCTCGCGTTCCCTATCCCTTGCCACGCTCGGGGCCCTCTCGGGCCGTCTTGGACGTCTTTTCGGCTGTCTTGGAGCTTGGGAGCCGCCTCGGGGCGCTTTTGAAGCCTATCGAGCCGTCTTCGGGCGATCCTCGGGGCCTCTTGGGGCGTCTTGCAGCGTCGGGAAGCGGAGCAGGCGGAAACGCCAAAATTGTTCAAAAGCATATGGAACATTAATGTGTGTGAGCTCGAATCGTCGGTTTGTGTTCCCTCTCTTGGGCCCCTCTTGGGGCCATCTTGGGGCCATCTTGGGCGATCTTGGGCGCCTCTTGAGCCGTTTGGGGGCCCTCTTGGGGCCCTCTTGGGCCGTCTTGGAGCGATCTTGGGGGCATCTGGGGACATCTTGGACCGTCGGAAGCCCATAACGCGAGAACGCGAACAACATTGAAAACACATCAGGAAAATCACTGATTGGTGCTTCTTTGGGCCCTCTTAGGGGGTCCTCTTGGAGCGCTCTTGGGGCTTCTTTGGTGCCTTTGGGGCCGTCTTGGGGTCATCTTGGGCGTCTTCGAGCGCTCTTGGGCTGTCTTGGAGGCCTCTTGGACCCTATTGATTGGGCGCTTTCTGGAGCCCTCTTGTCCCGTCTTGGGGCCGCCTTGGCCTCTCTGGGCCGCCTCTGGGAAGCGAACCAGGAGAGAATTAAAAAATGTTCCCGGATGGTTGCGGAATGGGCCCCCCCAGGCCAGGTGGTCGATTCGCTCCTGTTATGTAAACGAGTGTGTAGATACACACACATATATATAGATATATGTGCATGTATGTATATGTATAAGTAGTAGATATATGTATGTACACACATACATACATGCATGTGCATACACACATACCTACATTCATGCATACATACATACATACATGCACACACATACATACAGACATACACACAGACATACAGACATGCATGCATGCATGCATGAATACATGTATACATATACAAATACACCTACATAAACATACATGTATACATACATATAAGTATATGTATGCAAACACATATAATACGCATATCCGTATACATATGCGTATACGTGTACATATAGATGCACATACACATATACATACACACATATATATATATACATATACCTATATATATATATGCAGGTGCCTGTGCGTATACGCATGCATATACACATCCAGAAACATCGACATATACGTATACGGATACCTATGCGTGTACATGCACATGCATGTGTATATATATATATATATATATATGTACATATGTATAGATGCACACACCTAGATATACATATACATATGCATATACATATGTAAGGACATATACATATACATGCACACATACGTATGCATTAGCATAAACGCGTTCGCATGCAGAAGTGCATATAGATATACATGTGCGTGTATAGATGTGCATACATAAATGTATACAGTCATACATGCATTAAGCATGAATACAGACACATGTACATCCGGCATGCATACATACACACGTACATAGATACATGCATGCATACATACCTACACACAAATATACATACAAACACACATGCATGCATACATACATACGTACATACATTCATGCGTGCATACATGCGTGCATACACACACCTATACATATATCTATATGTATATATACATATGTATATACATACATACATACATACATACATACAGACAGACAGACAGACAGACAGACATACAGACATGCATGCATACATACG